TTCTTCATGTTTATACCTGTACTTTACTTTGTCTTCTGCTCCTTTCACTCTGGGAGACTCCAGCTTGACAATATTTTTGTCCCTTCTCAACAAGTCAGCCCCTTTTCCATAGTCAACACTGAAATCCATGTGGTATTTAAAGGCATATTTCAAGGCCCCTCCAAAATTAGGGGCCCCCACAACTCCGAGCTCCCCCCGACCTGAAGCCAGACTTGGAAAATCAAAACATCTCTGCATAGGGGGGTCCATCCAGCCCCCCATCTCCAAACCAAGCAGAACGCCGTCTCTCCAAATCTGATTTTTTCCAGGCTCATTCATCAAATCCAACGACTCATGTTCCTGCTGGGCCACAGCTCCCTCCATCTCTGCCACCCGAGGTCCAGCAACAGCCTCCTCCTTCATCTCATCTGTCAAAGCACATTCCTGGATTGATTTCTGAGTGGGTTCTATATAGGTACCCACTGCCTGTCCAAAATTTCCTATCGCAACTGTCATCAAGTCCATTTTCTCATGTAACTGTTCCAATAAAGCACTTGTCTTGCAAAAGGCAAGCACCAGAGCTTCTGAGCACATTCTTATTCAAGGTCGAAGTCTGGTCCCACAATCTTAATCTTTTACAGCTGGAAAACTCCCCAGTTCGACTTTAATAACAGTTTCACTCCCTCTAGGGGAAACAATTTCTATTTGTATCCATTTTTTTTTAAAAGGCAGATTTAGCAACAAAGTTTTCCTTTTTCAGATATTTTGTCAAAATTTTGTTCCTTTTAAAAGCGAAAGGGAACAATGGAATCAATATGTTTCTGTTCTTTTAACTATCTGTCAAAGACGTTTGTCCATAGTCAATGAGCTTCTTCAAAATGTCTGTCTTGACACCCCACTCCCAGGTTCAGGACAGTGGAAAATTACCTTTCTTTACTCTCTCTTCTGCAGGTTTAAACAGTCTTAAAAAAAAGGTTCCCCCCTCTTTTCCTGCTTCCAAGGGGGGTTCAGTAATTTTAAGTGATGAAAGTTTAGTCCTTTACAAAAGACTTTCTGAACTCTAGCTTGCCGTGTCTTTGCTTCAATCTATCTACAAAAGCGGAAGCGGACTTCCTGTTTAGACCTTCCCGCTTCCGGTGCCTAATTAAAAAATTTCACAGTCCAATTTTCCGTTCTACTCATGGGCAGTTGTTTGAAATCCAATTGTCCACAGGAAAAAGTCAGCGCTCTCCGGCAACAGCAATGCGGCTTCACTCCGTGAAAGAAGCAGTCGATTCAAAGCACCGCACCACTCACCCCACGTCGCTCCGGATCCCCGAAACTGGGTTTCCCCGCGAGTGGAGGGGGCGCAAAGGTTCCAGCCGAATCCCACGTCCACAGGCTTCTCCCGCCTGTGGTTTTTGATGGGTCTCCGTCTCGCTGTGGCGGTTCAGACCCTGTTTTCCACGGAGCGGATTCCTCCCGATCGGAGGAAATCCGCCATTGCCAGAAGCGCCAACCCGGAAGTCTGAATCTGGCTTGTTTTGCTATAGCGTGCAGGCTTGCCAAATTGCCTAGCCGTGAAATCTGTGGAAATAAAAATGCTCCAGGGGTGAGGGAAGGCTCTTATTGAAAACAACAGAAGTGCCACTTTAGGCCATGTTTGTCAAACAAATATGCATAGTCTCCAAGGATCATCTTGGTAGCAGGAGGTAGGGGTGGGAATGGCACCCCTCAGTCTGCAAATGGTGTTGGAAATTATTGCTTGCGTGTCAAGGTCCCCAAGCCACCCCAATAAAACACAATTCACACAGAATTTTTGTTTAAGGTTTTTGGCATAATTTTGGCCACAACTTTATTAAAATACAAAAAATATGAGTGGTTGCTTATTCATTGGTTGCGACTATCTGACCCCGCACGGCGACATACTGACATTTGCACACCCGCGAAAGTCAGAAAGGGAAAACATTTTGGGGAGAAAGATGGAGCTGGGTACCATGCCCTAACCTCTCCCCAAATGCTCCCAGGGGCTCTTGCATGGCCCTAGCCCCTTGACGGGGGTTCAGACAAAAGCATGGCAAGCCCCTGGATTCCTTTACCGGAATACCCTTGCAGCAGCAGCATCGGAGGGGCAGGCACAGCCAATCCATGCCCCTCCACCAACCAATTCATAAAACCAATACCTAACCGCAACCTTACAAGTTGTGACAATTTGCTATGCAGTAGGCAAAAACCAAATGGCACCAACCAGTCAGCCAAATAGATAAAATTCCTACCGGGCCCCTGCCCCAAAAGCAGACAACCCCATGACAGGCATAGCAAGGTCAATGTGAACAACCCTAAATATAGGGAGGGTGGGTGGGTGATCCGATGTGCGCAGCAAAAAGAGGAAGCTCAACGCAGGGAATTTAAGAGTTCTGGCTGTCAATCACAAAATGGCAACATCAACTTCTCCCCAATGAAAAGAGGAGCCCAATCGCAGCAGTGGCCAACTACCTTCACCTGCCCAGCAACAGCCGGATGTCTTGATAGACTCCACCGCAACACGTGCTCTGCATGAAGGAGAACACGCTTTGTCAAAATGATAGGGGATAGGTTTAGGTAACAGTTCTTCCTCTTACTATACTATCAAGTTGGTGTGGGGTGAGCTGAGGGAGACAGGAGAAGTGGAGGGGTGAGGTGGAGTTGGTGAGCAGAGCGAGCAGGGGTGGCAGCCCCTTGTGTGAATATATGTTCGGTTCCCACAATCACCTGAATTTTGCTTTTCCACCGAGGACCAAACTTTCTTGCCCATGTGGCTGCAAGGCAGGGTTGGCCAATTTATGTTCCAAATTTTGTGGGGCAGGGCTTTTTCCTTGGCTCCAGTATGGTATAGGAGGCAGCAGTGAGAAAATGCCTAATGCAGTATATTGTGGTAAAGATAACATGGGAAGAGGGCAGGTTTTGCTCTCTTTTGTGTACAAGATTAACAGCCACCCCTGTCTTTCAACTGAACAGCAACGAGTGTGTTTAATAAATATATGAACTCTGCGGTCATCCACGAGATGTGGTTCAGCCCTGCTCAGACACCCCAAACTGAACGTCTCCTCAAATGAGAAAGAGGAGCTGGACACTACAGGAGATCTTCACACTGCCAGTGATCATGAGGAGCTATCCGATCTGGAAATCCTTGCTAGGAATGGGTGGATATGTCCATTTTGGATTCAGTTTCTCACTTTTCCAATCTTAAGCGCCACAATTTCTCCTTCTACAAGCATATTATTGCAAAGCAGTTTGCTTCATACGATGCATTTTGTATGTTACTTTCACCAATTTATCTATTTATATGCACACTTGACCACTGCATATGAATTTTTGTACACGTTTCTTTGCTGAAGGACTGTTTTTCAGATCCCAGAGAAGTTCAGACTTCAAAGGGTAGGAAAGCTGTGTTTAAATTTGCATATTGTTTTGGAAAACATGAATCTGGTAAGTTCCCATTTAAATGTGAATTGAATCAGATTTCTGACCCAGGGACTGGAGGTCCCCATAGCAGTTTCCAGGTCTCTTAGCTGATTCTCAGAGCCTGATTCTCCCCCCTGTCTTCCCCAGGCCAAAAGATCAAATGAGATGGTAAAACAGGCAGGATATTTTTGCATATATTCCCACTTTATATAATGCAGTTTTGTATGCTATTTTCCCCTATACATACTATGGACACAGGGTGAACATTTGTTGAATATTGGAATATACATTTCCAGGAAAATATCACAAATGGCATTTTGAATTATTTAAATCATTCGTATAATTATTGTAATCTGGTAATTATTGTTGGTTGGGTTGTTTTATGTATAATTATGTATACTGTGTAATCATTTATGTATAATAATTATGGAACAATTCATTGAAATATATCCAAAATAGAACATTAGTTTTGCTGAGAAGTAAGAAACAAATTATGGGAATTAATTTCTTTTCCACTGATACGAGGCCCTTTTCTTTGTGATGTTTTCTATTTCTCCGATGGGTCCAAAAATGCTGTGCATAATAACACTAGCAGTCTGTGCTTCCGATTAGTCAGTTAAATGACCTTTTGGAAGGTTGTCACACATTCAGAATTATGTTTATTCCAAAGTTCTTCATCTAGTGGGGGATCTGTTTAATTTGTCTTTTGAATAGAATATACGAAGATAAATCACGAAGGGCAAGGCTATCAATGGCTACTAGCCACAATGACAATCTTCCACCTCCTCTGAATGCCAGTTGCTGGGAATCACAGATGGACAGAGTACTGCTGTTGCGTCCATGTCAGGCTTCCCATGGACATCGGGTTGGCCACTGTGGGAAAAGGATGCTGGACAAGATAGGCCATTGGCTTGATCCAGCAGGCTCTTGTGTGTGTATGCCTGCCCTCTGATCATCCCCCAAAGCCATAATTCACATGACACATGCACAAATGACAGAGATTGGAAGTAGACTGATCTGTCAATTTCTGCTTGAAAGCAATCTGGATTGTACTTGCAAACACACACGTCCCCAAGCCCACCATGGATCAAGAAGAGGTTCCGTACTTGATCTGGCCAGCTGTACAGTATTTCACAGGCAGTAGCTAAATCCATAGCTTGCACTACCAAAGCATCTCCCTGTGAAGCAAAAGTGATAAAAAAATATAGGGAGTTCTTAGAATCTGGAATGAAGAAGAGTTTGGATTTGATATCCCTCTTTATCACTACCCTAAGGAGTCTCAAAGCGGCTAACATTCTCCTTTCCCTTCCTCCCCCACAACAAACACTCTGTGAGGTGAGTGGGGCTGAGAGACTTCAGAGAAGTGTGACTAGCCCAAGGTCACCCAGCAGCTGCATGTGGAGGAGCGGAGACACGAACCCGGTTCCCCAGATTACGAGACTACCGCTCTTAACCACTACACCACACTGGCTCTCAATGAACTGAAACTTAGGAAGTTGCCTTATACCAAACCAGATCATTGGTCTATCTAGTAGTGTATTTTCCACGCTGATAGCGGGTCCCCAGGGTTTCAGACAGAGGATGTTCCCAGCCCTCCCTGGAGATGCCTGGGATTGAACTGGGGACTTTATGCGTGCAAAGCAGATGTTCTTGCACTGAACTACGGCACTCTCATAACTGTGAATGCATGCTGGGTTGGTTCTCTCAGCTACACTCCTCCTTCCTGCTCGGCAAGATGGGGGCCTCCGAGGCACCACACTGGTGTTCGTGATGGGTTCTGTAAACAAAATGGCATGCCATGCTTGGCTTGCAATGATGTGGCTATGTGACATGCTTCCTGGAATCAAACTGACAAAGAAAATAACAAATCTGTTCTCTGTGGGTACGTGGTTGAAAATCTGTGGACTTTGGCAAATTGCAAATAGATTTGTAAAATGTGGTGGGTGGGAACTTTGGCTCAGCTATACTTCGCAACTCATTCACTCTGAGTATCCCCTATTAATGTCAGTTGAGCTGCTCTAAAACAAATGATGGTGGCAGCAGATGATTGTTGTGATGTACTTAAGGAGCTGAAAGCTTTTCAGAGCTATTCAAACTGTTAATTGCTTCATACTTCAACCCCAAGTGACCCCCCCTGAGGATTGATTCTCATCATGGCGGTTTTCATCATCAGTACATACGGGCTTAGTTGTAAACAGAACAGACTGCATTAAACTAGCATGGCCGCATTGCAAGAAGTGCAGAGCGCACAGTTTGCATCCGGGAAGTCCCAGGTCTAGTTCCTGGCATCTTCATGTAGGGAATGGCAATACTCCTGTCTGAACTCCTGGAGAGCAGCTGCTAGTCAGTGTAAGCAAAAGGGAGCTAGGTTGGCCTATGTTCTGACTGAGGTTGTGCACGCTCCCCAAAGAAGCCTGGGAACTGTAGTTTCTGAAGGGTGCTGGGAAATGTAGCTGTGTGAGTGGTAATCTAGCGTTCCCAGGATTATCTTTTTTTTTTTTTAATAATTTTTATTAACTGGCCAATCACATCAAATTAAATCACATCACATAAATTCCAAATTACAAAGCCAAATTTTTAAATTTTGTTGGGGGAACCCATACTTCAAGATCCAAAGGGGGATTCAAATCATCTTCTTATTACTGCATTAATGTCCAAATCAGTCCCAATCAGTCCAAACAGAGTTCATAGTTCTATCCAATCTTATCTTGGTGTTTCCACATCATATCTTGTTCATATAATTTCTCTTTTCCCTTTACGATCTCTTCTGTTAGTCTCCTTAAGCCGATAAGCAAATATAATAATCCTGTGTGAATTTCCCGTTCTTCCAATCTAAGTCCAGATGGTTTCCATATATCATCTCCTTCGTAGATAACATCGCTCTTTCCATCATAAATTAGGCAGTTGTCACTCTTAAGTCCCACTGAGGAGTTAGTCCACGATATGTAAACAACTCTGTTTCTCTCTTTCTCCTCCCAGACTCAAGAGCTCCGACAGTGCCTCCCAAAATGGCGACGGCATTTTTAACTGCGTCATTCCAAAACTCTTAAATTTCCAGCTTCGTCTTGGAACATTGCTTTGGTTCGAAAATTTATCTCCACACAGCCTTAAATCCACAACTTAAGTCCTTAAAACGACATTTCTGACTCATTAGGGGAGGGATTCTTGTTTAATCACATAGAGAAATAAAGGCGGGTTTTCCCCCCTCCCCCCTCAGTCATTTGCGGTACCGTAGCTTGTCGTATCTTCTCATATCTGATTCTTGTCTGGTTTTATCAGAGATCTCTTCTGTCAGCAGTCTTTACTCCCCTCTTTCCTTGAAGTATGTGCAATTTATCTCGTCCAAATTGTTTCTTTTGAAGATTCTTGCAAACTAGTGGCGCGGATCAGAGACGGCATCGAGGAGTGCCGGAATCCCACAGGAGGGCTTTGTGCCTAGTGCCCCCATCCCCACAAATTCGGGGGTGGTATAGGGCACAGCAGGCAAGGGCCGTCCCCCCCACAATCCTGGAGGGGTTAAGGAGGCTAATTACCCCCATCATAGCCTCCAAATTACCTCATGTGGGTCGGAGAGATGTTATTGTCAGCCATCTTCCGATGCGCCCCCTAGTGGCCCCCCTAGAGTTCCCAGGATTATCAGGGGTGTTCGTGTGCATGCTTGAAATGTATGGTTCATATGCCACTTCCTATGTACAATTTGCTACATTACCTGATTTTTTTGTGATGGAAAAGTCCCTACAGGTTGCCTTTTTTAAAAGTAGGCACAAGATTGAATGTGCTTCTGAAATAACCCCCCTATGAAAAGATAATAATAATAACAACTTATTATTTATACCCCGCCCATCTGGCTGGGTTTCCCCAGCCACTCTGGGCGGCTTCCAACAAAAGATTAAAAGTACATTAAAACATCAGTCATTAAAAACTTCCCTAAACAGGGATGCCTTCAGATGTCTTCTAAACATCAGATGGTTGTTTATTTATTTGACATCTGATGGGAGGGCATTCCACAGGGTGGGCACCACTACCAAGAAGGCCCTCTGCTTGGTTCCCAGTAACTTTGCTTCTCACAGTGAGAGAACCCCCAGAAGGCCCTCGGTGCTGGACCTCATAAGTTGCTGCACCCTCCACAATGGAGGAGTGAAAAGCACATCAATAAGGGAGTTGCTTCTTTCCTCTTCCAGGTGTGTCCCCTCGGCACCTGCTCCAGAGTGCTCCCCACCCTTGGGAGGGTAGCTTCTCAGGGGATTAGAAAAATCTCTAGCATACTTGTGGTGTACATTATTTTATATTTTTAAACAAGGTTGCAGCTAGTGATGCATGGTTCTTTCAAAAGGACATTTTTCTGTGAATATGGAAGCGCAGAATAACATTAGGAACACAGGAAGCTGCCTTATGCAGAGTCAGGGCATTGGTCCATCTATCTCAGTATTGTTTATACCATCAGCTCTCCAGGGTTTAAGGCAGCAGCCTTCCCCCAGCCATGCCTGGAGATTCCAGGGACTGAACATGGAGCCTTCTGGATGCAAGGAAGAGCCACAGCCCTTCCCTAAAACTAGAAATTTGCCCGTACTTATCTTGTGCATTCAGAGGTTTTCTTGTTAGGGGCTTTTTTTTTATGCTTACAGTAAATTATTTTAATTTGCATTTGGCAAACTAGCAATATTTCAACACAGGGAAAACCTATCTGCTTCTACATGGAGGGGTGCAATGTCTCATCTGCTGTGTATATAATGACATGTGGAAAAGCGGGCACTTCAAGATGCTCACGTGCACATAAGCTGAATCAATGTGACTCAGAGAAGGAAGAACTTTACTAATCTGGCCTCCGTGAGCAGAGGCCTCCATATGGAACCTTTTTTGTTATGTGCACCGTGGATGGGAGGCAAACTTGGCCACTTCTCCACCTTTACAAAGAGGACCACTACCTGGGAAATGTATTCGCAAGACCATACGGAGACGTCATTACTGAATCTTCTTAACTGTGTTGCCAGCAAATAATTGTGTAGGCTTGGGTACAGGGACTGCTTTGGCAGTGCATTGCCATAGCATGTGGTGTTGTACTGGCATCACCAAGCAACTCAGGATGTGGCACTAAGATGGCTTGATATTATATATATATATATCCCCCACCCGGAGGCATCTTAGCATACATGATTTTGCTTGCCAGCTCGCTGGCATAATCATGGCAATCTCGTCTTTAAAGCACTCGAGTAAATTCAAAGGTTAAAACCCACATTTATTTCTGGACTATTTTTATCTCACCCTTAGCAGAAGTTGGCTGTATGAAAGATGCTCAGATTCCTTGTAAGGAAAAAAAAGAACCCTTTTTTGAAAAATGAGGGTTGCTTGATTACTTGGCAGGAAGCTGCATGCAGGGAAGCTTTAAAGGCTCTGCTGAAATATATATATATATATATATATATACTGAGAAGCTGAGATATATTTCAGGTATTCTCCTGTTGACATATTTTTGCGGTTTGTCATGAGTTCCTTAATTTGTTTCATCAGGCCCCCCAGGTCCCCTGCTGGCAAATAGCAAGAGGCTGGCTTGAACCTCTAAGACAGCAGGCAGATAAAGCCTCCCTCCCTAAGTGCTCGCTAAGCGATGGAACTCCGTAATGCAACAATTAGGAACTTGTCACATGTTTGGAATTAGGGGGCCGTTCATGGTTATGCTTGGGTTTGTTTGCATATTTCCAAAGAGCAGGATGGATTTTAGAGAATCAGTGAAATAAAGCCATTAGTTTTCAAGCAGCTTGCCCGCTAGCTCTCTTTAACTTCAACAGCTACAGTTTCAATGCATCTCGGCGATGGTTTACTAGTGTGGGGTTGTTTGTGCTTCCCTTTCAGGCTATTGGAAGGACAAGGGGAAGAGTTTTGCATATCAAAACTCTGATAACTGTTTACAGTTGTTTTAATTCTCATTTTTTGGCATGCATGCATTTGAAAGAAAGCATAATAGTAATAATAATAGAATAATAATAGTGGACAGGGACCAATGTGGTGTCCATGGAGATGTGCTTTTAGTCCTGCCCTCAACCTGGTCGAATCTCCTCGCAGCTCACTCAAAGCCCCCTCCACAAGGTTCAGTGGCCCTTTTCTAGAGCAACAAGGGGCTACAGAAAAAAGTGAAGAATCAGCCAACTCTCCTGTGGAAACAGCATAGGAGCCAACTCCTATGGGCTGAGAGGTCTTCAGCCCCCCCCCCAAATTTGAGGGATCTGGGCCCTCCTAAAGTTGATGGGCATTGCCATTTAAATGGTGTGTGTGCACTGTATCATGTGATTGATTGTACGAGGCAGGGCTTATCTTCACACACACACCCAATATTTTATGCAAGTTAGCACCCCTGGCAAACACCCAGTATTGTTCCCTTATTTATTAACCCGAACATTCCACATCTGGGATCGTTAGGAAAAGGACTAGAAATGAAACTGTCAATATCATGCAAATCTATGGTGTGACTGCACTTGGAACGTTATGTCCAGTTCTGGTTGCCACTCTTCAAAAAGAATATGGTAGAGATGGACAAGATAGAGGTATGGTAGACAAGGTATGGTAGAGGTGGAGAAGTAAGGGACAGTCAAAATTATCAGGAGGATAACTAGCTAATTAGCTAAAGTGGTGCTTCAGGTTAAGAACAGTTTCAGGTTAAGAACAGACCTCC